ACAATAATTGGCAAAGACACACGACAACACAATAAATAATAGGTAAAAAAAGTGGAAATAATAAGATTGACATGCCAAGATCCATAGATATTAAATATATCGAAGGCTCTTTACCAGTCGATGTATGTCTACTGATCATCCGTAGATAAATATCTATTGCGACATGGTGAGAATATGGCAAAAAGGTTTTCCTTCGATAAAAGCCAGATCATTCGATATATATCGAAGGTGATATAATATCTATGCCGCGAGAATTGGGCCCCAGGGCCCCAATTCTCGCGGCGTAGATATTATATCGGCTTCGAGATAATATCGAAAGTAGGGATATCTATTGAAAATATCTACTGATAGCAAAAAATGCTATTCTCGTGGATTTTCGATATTCCAATGATATTTATATCTATCGTAGATATTCTTTCACTGTCGAATGCGTTCCGTTTTTCTCGATTAAGTTAACATCATAGTCTATATAAAATAATAATAAATTAGAGCAGAATTTTACAAGCAACAAAATGATATTTTATATTTTATAAATTCCATTCATATTAAATATGAGTATACATTTTTTGAGTACAAAAAATCTCAACTTTACCTAAATTGTATGCGTATATAATTTCAACGTTATGTATAATGAAACGTCAATATTATTTAAGATTCTCCCTTTTCAGGGAAGGCAAAGGGAACAATGCCCATACAGCCTAGTCTTTAGTTATATTAATCTTCTTTTTGTACATTCGAATGTCGGTGTGACGCATTCAAATGTTTCTTGGAATGTTTGGCACGAAATTTATGGAGTTGGCTTTTTCTCTAAGCCTCTGTGAGGTAGTCAACACTACAATAAAGTTCTCGCGTCCACTTGACCGGAATAGCGTATATTTTAAAGATTCCACTAATTCTTCAGTTGCGCAGACGGTTGTAACACCAAATCACACCAATTTTATTTCACAATATCCACTATGAAAGAATTTTAGAATAATTAAAATAAGACGCCAACCGCACTCGCAGAAATCCCGCCAAAAACTCCGTATCGTCAATAAGAAAATGGTGTCGATTCTGGCATGATTCTCTAAACCTAAACGTAAATTTGACAAAAGTGAATCCTTGTCATTCTCCATACAGAATGAAAAGGAGAGACTGATGTTAAATTTAGTTTTAAGTTTAGAGAATCGTGTCAGAATCGATACCAATGTCATTCATAACTTTATAGATTTCTAACCAAATTTTTGTTTAAACGTAATTTTTTATGAAGCAGGCGTCCCTCATTTCAAATGAGCCCTCTTGCACTCACAACGGCGGCGCCTTTGCACAGCAGCAGCAAACACGTCATTTATTAAATCATTGACGAAAACATGAATCAATTCATCCATCGTTAATATAAACTGGTGTCGATTCTGGCACAATTCTCTAAATCTAAACTTAAACTTGACAACAGTGTTTCCTTGTCATTCTCTATACAGAATGAAAAAGAGAGACTGATGTTAAATTTAGTTTTAAGTTTAGAGAATCACGCCAGAATCGACACCATTGTTTACCTACTTCTTTATTTACTAATTATTTATGAAGGCAGTTAACAACATCTTGAGGTAACAATAATTGGCAATGACACACGACAACACAATAAATATTAGGTAAAAAATGTGGAAATAACAAGATTGACATGCCAAGATCCATAGATATTTATATATCGAAGGCTCTTCACCAGTCGATGTATGTCTACTGATCATCCGTAGATAAATATCTATTGCGACATGGTGAGAATAGGGCAAAAAGGTTTTCCTTCGATAAAAGCCAGATCATTCGATATATATCGAAGGTGATATAATATCTATGCCGCGAGAATTGGGCCCCAGAACGACAAGGAGAGACTGATGTTAAATTTAGTTTTAAGTTTAGATAATCATGCCAGAATCGACACCAACGTATATAGGTATAATCGTATACCTAATGGTAACTCATGCACTTAAATAAAATCCTTGCCTCTCTTTCTAGATAATTGTCAACTACTGATTAATTGAAATTAAATATCATTGTAATATAACACAAAATAAAATTAAGAATCTTATACAAATCGTAAATTTTTTAGCTCGCCAAGTAAAGAAAGTAAGATAGGTATAGTAATTTTTGAAGCTTTGGGCTTACCCTATTCTGAAGCCATGGGCACGCCCCTGATGAGTGGGAGACTAAGCAATTTGTGTATTTGATGTGCGCTAAAAAACCGACATAGCTTGGAAAAGCACGAATGTAGTGAAAACTTAGCGAAGGCATTCGCAAATGTCGTCCCACATATGCGGGTTGGCGCATTCGTGCTAACAAATGTGAGTGATCTGATCAGGATAATAATTAAAATTTTTTGGTTTCCTGTCGTGGCTGAAACACAAACCGTGCGAGCCAAAAAAAAATCCTGCTTGGCGCGATTTCATCAAGCGTGTTTAAAGAAAAAGCTGGCTCAGTGCATTTTGCGAGAAACTCGCCAACAAACATATGAATGTGTCACACTCACCCCGTATTCTAATGTCAATAAAAAAAAAAGAAAAGAATATCGATAATATCGAGTTAAAATGGTCGATATATCGGATATCGATATTTTCCTGACTTCGATATAAATATCGATATAATATTTAATACAATTATTTATTTCAATATACTTTTAAATAAAAACAATAGGGATGCATAAGAGAGATAGCACTACGCATGTGCACAACATTTTAGTGTGTGCATTTCCTACCGATAACATAAACACCATGTTCTTTTTGTTTATTGCGCTAAAAAACCGACATAGCTTGGAAAAGCACGAATGTAGTGAAAACTTAGCGAAGGCATTCGCAAATGTCGTCCCACATATGCGGGTTGGCGCATTCGTGCTAACAAATGTGAGTGATCTGATCAGGATAATAATTAAAATTTTTTGGTTTCCTGTCGTGGCTGAAACACAAACCGTGCGAGCCAAAAAAAAATCCTGCTTGGCGCGATTTCATCAAGCGTGTTTAAAGAAAAAGCTGGCTCAGTGCATTTTGCGAGAAACTCGCCAACAAACATATGAATGTGTCACACTCACCCCGTATTCTAATGTCAATAAAAAAAAAAGAAAAGAATATCGATAATATCGAGTTAAAATGGTCGATATATCGGATATCGATATTTTCCTGACTTCGATATAAATATCGATATAATATCGATATTTCAAAAGACTTTGCATCCCTAATTATGTTGATTATTATTTTAGTTGATTTTTATGTGAAATAAAAGATTTAATAATAGTAAAAAAACGGTTGTGATATTGATTTAAAAAATACCATCGAGTGACACTGATGTTTTAATTGAAAAGTTTGTAAGTAATTTTTATTTGTAACTAAAACGTAATAGGGTGACATTGTTTTAATTTGTTGGAATGAGAGCTACTATTTTGTTATTTAAATATTGTTAATCTTCATTTAAAATGTATAAGTACAATTTTTTATTAGCATATGATTTTGAATGCAATCATGTAGATTTAGGAGAAATAAACACAAATATTTAGCTAGTTAGGTTTACTTTCAATTAAAGGCTGTGATTTTTTCAAATAAAAGAAATATTTTATATTATAAAAGCCGTTTTTTATTTGACTGTATTTCCTCGACATAAAAAATTAAGATAGGAACTTAGATCATATTTATGGTCCCAACTTACCACTCAAAATAATCATTAAACATAGGTGTCATTCGGGACCACTAGCTTCGGTCCCGAATGCCGCCTCAAAATAATTTATTAATTCCATGTCCCCGTCAGGACCAGTGGTCCCGTCAGGACCAGTGGTCCCGGTCCCAAATGACTACCGACTCCTAGATAACCGACTTCAAACCTGGGCAGTCCGCAGACATAACTCGAGACCTGCGATAACATTAGGGGACTTCTGAGCTTCTTGGGGGAGCTGGGATGGCATGACTAAGACAAGCAACATAAAATAGGCACTAAGTGTAGAGTTGCAGAAAAGACTCGCAGTTTGATAAAGAAGAAGTGGGTCAAGGGGCAAAGATGCTCAGAATTCCCAGCCAGCGATGGCTCCAACACATTAGCACTTGGTGTTGGGTAAAGAAGCACTGGCAGTGTCAACCAAATACTGGAATAAATTTATGGATTGCATGCAAGCTAGGGAAGCAGTTCCTAAGGTAAACCTACAGCTATCACATAAATTTATTAAACAACCTATAAAAGCAGCAATCAAATATAGACACCAGTTTGGCCCTTGCCCTGGCTACTTCAGTCAGATAAGACACCTATACATAGGTTTATATGGTATCCCTGTCTAGAATCTGCCTAGAAGAAGAGAAGACCAGCTCCCACATTCTACTGAAATGCAGAGGCTTTGCAAGTCTAAGGACTTCACATCTGAGAAGTCCTTGCACACTGTTATATGCCTGCATAATATTTGTGGAACATTGGGCTTCCTGTAGAAGCTGAGATGGCACTCCAAATGCAAAACAGGCACTGAGTGTGAAATTGGTGGAATAGCCCACATAACACATATCAATCATGGCCCTTCAAACAAAAAACTTATTTATTTCTGACAGTGACCTTGTTTTAATTAAGAACAGAGGTGTTGCAAGGCAAAGGACTGCACACATGAGAAACGCACTGACACTATAAGAAGCCTGCAGCAACAAACTTATACATTGTGAAAAACAGCAAAATGTAAACTTAGGACTAAAAAATACTATGGACTGATAGAAAGTCAGCAGTCTGGCAAAGTTTGGTAAAACTGTACTTCCAGGGCCCAAAAGGTGATACTTATTTTTTTTTTGTAAAAAAGGTCTTTTTTAACAATTTTTTTTCTGGCGCTTCGCCGGCCGCTGCCGCGGCACGCTCGCTTTGCTCGCTCGGCTCGCGCGTTATGGTCACAACACTAACCTAACCTAACCTAGTATGAAGTATCACCACTTGGGCCCTGGAAGTACAGTTTAGCCCAAAGTTTTTTAGCTGACTTTATAATTATAAAAATAAAAATATATTTAAAAAAAACTTACCGCAATTCAGCGTTCCGGTCAATAAGCAAATCAGTTTTGTTTCCATAAATGCGGACTAAAACAATATTTTTGGTATTTGGTTCGTTAATGAGCTGGCATCCCACTAATTTATTAGTTATTCCATCTGTAAACAACTATAAAGCTTGTTTTCAAATAATTTGTATCAATATGAATAAACTTTAATAAAGTACTTGTATATAAATTATTTGAAAATATGCTTGCATATTTAATAATCCCTCAAACTTTTTATTTTCAAAGATAAACAGTAAGTTAAAGGTTATTTAATTTAAGTTAGAACATTTTAATGATTCAGCTATAAATTAATGATTTAATGAAACACTTACTTTAAATTTTATGTTATCCGTATCCCAATTCGGTCGTAAAACTTGCATAAGTTTTTTAATTCCATCGTAAGGATCATTTTCCTCAATTTTTATGGGAACAAATAAATCACCAGCTGGTAGACAAATCGATGACATCGTTGTTGTTGTCACAGACTAACCTTTAAAATTAAATGGTTGTTGTTTTTTTTTTTATTAGCAAATGACATAGCCAGGATACAAGTCCATAAAGCCGAACACATAGTACAAATACAAACTTAAATAAAATACAAACGTGAGATGCGTGAAACAGATTACTGACAACTTAAATTTTGACAATGACATTGACAGCGATAGAAGGATAGAAACAATAGAAAGCACAATAGAAAGTAAACAATGGAATAAAAATAACCTAAAGAAAAACAAATAACATATTCTTTTTCTATATCTTATCTACAGTATTTACAATATATTTATAAATTGGTTTAAAATAGCATGGGTTGGAGAGAAAATCTTCAATGCGGCGGGGAAAACAATTGCTCTGGTCTTCTGATTGAATATCTTGCAACTCGCAAATTAGTAGTAGACGTTGGATGTTAAATTCAGGACATGAGAAAATTACGTGATTTATGTCTGCATGCGGAGTCTGGCAATATCTGCATTTGTCGTTCGACAAAATTTTAAGCCTATGCAAGTGAGTTGGAACCAAACAGTGTCCAAAGCGCAGCCTGTTAATAGTTGTAATAAATTTTCTCGACTCACATATTGCATTATTATACCATGGCTTGTTTGGCAAACTTTTCTGTATTGTTGCGTACCATTTCCCTTTGGAATTGTTCCAGTGGTTCCAATAGTTAATCCACAAATGTTTAATTTCATCTTTCACTGATGATAAGTGATCTGTGTATGGTATTGGAAAGGTAGAGTGATCCTCTGGGTTATTTGCAATCAATGCTTTATCCACAATCTCATTTCCAACAATGCCTCTGTGGGAGGGAACCCATAAAAATTGCACTTCTCTCTTCTGTATATACAAGTCATATAAAAGGTCTCTTATTTTATATATAATATGATTTACCTTAGAATCTAGCCTATTACTTTCTAATGCTAATAACACACTTTTAGAATCAGATATGACAAGAAAATTATGTACATTATTTACAAAAGAGTCTGCTTTTAAAATATAGCATAAAGCTTGATAAATAGCATAAGCCTCAGATGAAAATACACTGGCTTTGTTATTCAATGCATATACTTTAATAAAGTTTAGCTGAGGGTCATAGAAGCCACACCTAACTACATCTTTATGACACTCCTTTGAACCATCTGTGAAAATTTTATAAAATTCATTTCTGTTTTTGACAAATTGTAAATAATCATTATTATTCTCAATATTAGGTAAATGGACTATAACTTTTAGCAAGTATAAAGCATTATATTTGCATTTATATACAGGCCAAATATTATCACTAGCTATAAACATATGTACACATTTTTCTCTGATATATGTCATTATGGTACACATTTCAGGTAATTTACTACTAATAAGATTATTTGTAGAAACTATAGATTCTGTTATGTTATTTGCAAGTTCTGAAGGGAGAATCAAATTATTAACAATATGACTATTGTTAGCTGACAGCTGTTTAATTGAGAAATTTTGTGCTAACTGAAATCTTCTTAATGTTAATGGATGAATACAAGTTTCGGCTTCTAATGCATTTATTGGAGTTGATCTCATAGCACCACTTATGATTCTTAGCCCAATATTTTGGATGACATCTAATTTTTTCAATAAACTAGGACTGGCATTGAAGTAGGCAAGACAGCTATAATCAAAATGACTCCTTACTAGGCTTTTGTATAATGTGGACAATGTTTTGGGATCAGCACCCCAATAAACTCCAGCTAAACATCGAATGATGTTAATACCTTTCAAAGCATTTTTTGATATATAATTTATATGCTGCTCAAATTTTAGTTTGCTATCTACAATAACACCTAAAAATTTATGGCTACTAGTTTGTGGAATCAGTAAATTATTATATTTGATATGCACTGAATTATCAGAGCCAACTACCAATACAGCACTTTTAGATGAATTAATATTAAGTTTTAATTTATATCTATAGTAATACAATAACTGTTCTAATGATAAATTTAGTTTTTGTACAGCTAAGTCTACATTTCTATTAACACATTGCAAATAAAAGATCCTCAGCAAATTGCAAGACTTTAACTTCAGGATTTATATAGGTCATTATTTGTGACGTATATAAGTTATACAGCATTGGAATGGTTGTTGTTTTGATCAGTGTTGCCACATTGGATTTTTTTTTTAAGGCGCCAAGTTAAAGGTAAAATATCGCCAGATTTCAAAAATTTGGATTGAATAAAATACACCAAAATCCGCTAAATTACAATTACATCTCAGACAACAAAAAACCCTAATTTAAATAAAAAAACCAGTGAATATGTTTGAAATCCAACAGAAATAACTGTGTCCCGCAGTCGTTCTAAATTAGTAAAATTTAGTTATTTGAAAAGAAATGGCAATATTGTTTTTACTAACTTATAACTGGACTTTTTGGCGGGAAGTCAAATAAGGCGCGCGGAATTTTTTCTCTTTAAATAATTTTATTTCTTTTTAATAATTAATTACTGATAAAAGCACTACTAAATAGATTTTTTCGTAGAAGCGAACCCCATCTGCAAAACTGGGATCGCAAAGCGACGGAGAGGAGGGCGAGCATAAGCGAAAATACAAAAGGACTGTCGACTCTTCGGTGGATAAGTATAAAATATATTTTAAAACCAACTACACTCGATTGTTTTTGGAAAAAAGTGCCGTTGACTATACGGTCTACGTAGAGTCAAAAGAAAGAGAGATGATAGGCAATAGAAATCCTATTAAACTAACCCAATTATTTACTGATAATATAAAAGGTATCACAAGTGTGTTCCGATTGAATGCCTATAAATTGGGCATTACTTTTCAAAAGGCTGCTGCAGCAAACAGCTTTTTAAAGCACGAGCACTTTCTGCATAAGCACAAATTTCGTGCGTTTATCCCTGCTCATCTAGTGGAGAGAGTAGGCATCATTAAATTTGTTCCCACTGATTTGTCTAATGAAGAAATATACAAAAATATCACCTGTGACGCTGATGTCATCTCAGTCAAAAGATTTATGAAAAAGGAATCCAATGAACTCGTGCCATTAACAACAGTTGCAATCACATTCTCGACATCCAACTTACCTAAATATGTATTCTTAAATTTATTCAGATATCAAGTAAATACATACATACCACCATTGATTCAATGCTATAAGTGCTTCAAGTTTAATCACTCGGCGAAAGTATGTCGTGGCACTCAGATGTGCTCTTCTTGCTCGGGTGCTAATCTCTTTAAAGAATGTGACTCAGAGACTATAATTTGCATAAATTGCTGAGGTGCCCACCTTGCCATTTCTCGAGATTGCCCAATAAAAATAAAGAAAATTGAAGAAAAAAGGAATAAAATACTGAACCAAAATCGTTCTTTTGCCTCTGCAGTAGCAAGTAGTAAGATAGATGATGTAAACTACCCTTTGTTAGCGAAAAGAGTTGGAAAAAACAATGTTAATGATGTAAGTGTAAATAAAAATACTGATTCTCATAGCGAACAACAAAAAATAAATAGTTCTAAGCAAAAACTTGATATTCAATGTATAATTAATGATGAAAATATTGTAAACGCCCTAGTTAAACCTTTACTTGCCTTGGCAAATACTACCAGTAATGAAGCAGTTACTTCAACAAAAATAAAAGAAACTTTGTTAAATTTTTTAATATAATTTAATGGATTTAAGGTCTTATAATGAAATACAAAACAAGAAAACCTATCTAACAATTGCCCAGTTTAATATACAGAGTGTAAATAACAAAAAACCCTAATTAATTAACTTTCTTAATGAAAATGATATAGACATTTGCATGATAAATGAAACTTGGTTGAAATCAAATAGCAGCTTTAATATACCAAATTACAAAATAGTATTATAAAACGGACCAAATGGTCATGGAGGTAGCTATATTGGTAAAGAATAGTCTTAAATTTACAATAGTACCAACACCATACTTTGATTTTATGCAAACAGTCTCTATAATTTTGAAAACTGGAATTGGCGATCTGTCACTATTATGTGTTTATAGCCCCCCTAGAAGTGGTTGTTTTCATAGTGGGAAATTAAAACAGATTATCAACTCATTGCCTAAACCAATTATGCTCGCTGGTGATTTCAATGCACATCATGTTGCATTTGGTTGCCTTTCATCAAACTCAAGAGGTAATGAAATCTATAACTTGTTAGATGAATGTGATCTCTGCATACTAAACACAGGATCTCCAACTACTGTAGGCACCATCAGCCATAACCCCTCGGCTATAGACATATCTTGTATTAGCCCCAACATAGCTCCATTATGCGACTGGAAGGTACATGATGATCCAATGGGTAGCTATCATTTTCCCACTTTGATTGATATTCAGACATCTGCTGAGAAGTATGTTCTTGGCACTCCTACTGAGCGCTACAACTATAAACAAGCTGATTGATCCAGGTATTTTTCTGAAAGTGAAAAAGCATTTGATGAATTATACTTTGATAATAATCCTTTTCATGTATATAATTCCTTCTGTAACATATTGAATAATCTCAAACAAAACTGTATTCCTAAGGTTGTAAATAATTATCAGTATAAAATTAAAAAACCAGTGCCATGGTGGGATAAGGAATGTGCTACTGCTGTAAATAATAGTAAATTAGCTTTAAGAAGCTATAGATCAGATCCTACAATAAATAATTATATTGAGTATAAAAAAGTTGATGCCCTTAAAAAGAGAATAATTAGTCAGAAAAAGAAAGATAGTTGGAGATCTTTGTGTGAGGCATTTAATAGATACACACCTATAAGTATGATTTGGAATCACATTCGTCGATTCAAGCGTGCTGCTAGCAAAAAGCCTTCTAAAAATGATGACTGGATATCATCCTTCTTAGATAAATATGCCCCAATATCTCCTCCTGAAAAGGATTTAAACACATCAAGGTTAAATAACATCTTTGAATCTATTGGTAATATTGAAGCATGCTTTTTGATACAACCCTTTAACATAAATGAGCTTAAGGCAT